TGTTAAACCAGTATCACAAGCTTTTCTGTCCAACATTACTTTTTTAGTACTGGTTTCGATTGTATTGCTCTGAGTTCTAGATGTCAACAACTACACTTTTTCATCCCTGCATCTTAACGTTTTCAAGTTTTGTATCTGAAGAGTACACTTTAGGACATGTCAAAACAAGTACCAAGTATTTGTTGACATTTTATCTCCGGCTTTCCCGTATTTTTGGATCTGATACCTGGCTACTTCACACCTGAGCACATGCATCCATCCTGTTTTCTTTTAACCATCCCTGTTGTTGCACAACTATGCCCTCCTGCCTCCTCTTGCATCACCATAATGCCACAACAGTCGGTTTGGAGAGACAAAAGACTTCAGAGAGATCAGAGACCTATCTGTATCAGATAGACGAGTGCAGTCTGTGCAGCATTCAGATTGCGGACAGATAGTCAAGGCCAGACTTTCAAAGATGCTGAGCTTACTTGCATATTTGCACCAGAGGCGTGGCAAATTTACTGATAACCACTAACCTATGTGCTTGTTTTTGTTGGGTCACCTTAGTTGTCCTGCACACTTTTTGGTGTCTTGCTTATTTTCTCATGAATCTGTTGTCCATCTCCATCCTACAGCTCCCAAATCCCATCATCTCGATGTTTCCTTTCCCAAAGGACTATGCCAAAGGGAGTGTCTGATGATCCCTGTCTACTGTACCCACACTCACCATGCCCAACAGTTATTTTGCACCAGCAGATTTTGAGCCATGTGTTGAATTAGGTCATAATTTGTCTACACTGGTTGTGCCTCCAAAATGCGATACCCCTCCTAGAAATGAGGAGAGGAGCGCATTTACACATGTATCACCTGTGAGTGACCTTGGATTGTTTCTGTAGGAGAGGAAATCCACTGTTTTCCCACAGCTAAGGCACACAGTCTGTTTCATAGCAGAATTATTTTTCAAGGGTGTTCTTCCTTTTCGTATTTTACAACCTTTGATTGCACATCCAGAGCTTTGGCTTCCTCTCCAAGCAGCTGCCTTGCCAAGGCATTTGAATTGTGACAGTTTCTGAGCTGGAATTTCCAATGTTTGAAATCAGCAACTGGGCTAAAACCATTCACCAAAAGCCTTTGGGTAGTAGTGATTTGTAAGACTATGAACCTGGGACAAACGAGTTCAAGTTCTTTGGGCAGAAGGGCTATTAAGTCTACCCAGCAAATATTCATATTGCTTGATGACTTTTAAGGGAGCATTTAACACATAATGGCTGACAAACAGCTGAGATTAAGTCCTTCAAGAATGATGAAAAGGTTCTCATTAGGGTATGTTGTGTCAACAGGGATCACGGATTTTATAGATCTGTTGTGTTTTAACCCCAGCCAGCAACTAAGCACCACCCAGCCGCTCGCTCACTCCCCCCACCCCAGTGGGATGCGGGAGAGATTGGAAGGGTGAAAGTCAGAAAACTTGTGGGTTGAGATAAGAACAGGTTAATAATTGAAGTAAAATGAAATAGAGGAGGAGGAGGAGGAGGAGGAGGAGGAATAATACAATAATAATATACAAAGCAAGTGATACACGATAAATTTCTCACCATCTGCCGACC